GCTCACAGAGGGAATACGGTCAGATACGGACAGTATCTGGAAACACCGTGATCCATACAGTTACCTTCAGCAATGTAACAAAAATAAAGGATACTGTTCTCCGCTGGGTCCTGGGTGTGTTTTAGACTATACTTCATGACACAGTAAGATCTTCTTAATAGCATATCTTTAACAAACAATATTATAATACAACTATGACATTGCTAGCTAGCTATATTGTTAATCGCATCTTTCAAAAATATTTTGTAGTAATTTGTAGAACAAGGTAGCAACAAGTTGTTGACATTTGTATACAGTATATTTTTTTTTATACCCGGTTGGATTTGCGTTTTTAGATTGTTAGCTCTGCAGGGACCTTTCTTTGATCTGGATCCTAATTAGGATTCAAAATGTAAAATTGGATAAATGAAACAAGATAAAAATAGGAACAAGTTAATAGGCAGAGATCATAATGGGCCAGAGGGGCCCTTCTGTTTTAGAGCAGTGTCGGTAGTGTGGGTAGTGTGGGTAAGGAGCAGAGCATCTCAAGGAAACATTGAGCTGGCAAACTGACCTCTTACTAGTGATTCGTGGTCAATTAGAATAAGATCAATTATGGAGTATGAATAAATTGCGTGGGTCAATCCATCTATTATAAATTAATCAACCATTACTCTGTTTTATTTAAACGGTTTTATTTCTGTGAAACTCACCAAAACTTCAGAGCGCTAGGAAAAGACGGATGACGGGGACTACGTCATTGCCTTTATAGTTCACAATCTGTGGAATTGCTGGGAGCGTCTGTCACCTAATATGGATTATGATCTGGGAATTTTACTTTACTGTCAGCCAATCAAATTGCAGGAACAAAGATTACATGATATCCAATATAAAGTATCAGCATATATCTATACTGTCTGGCATCTCAGGATCTAGTAATGTCAGGTGAAACTGTCAAAGGTGGCTATCTAATTAGGCAATTGTTTAACTCTCCTAACTGAAAGACGGGGCCTGAGCAAGCTTGGTGCAAGCAGCGGCGGGCTGCCCACTATTTGAGGTGCGAGTAGTGATGGCTCCTTGCACTGCCGCAGATTTAGAAGAGGGAAAAAAAGAGAAGAGCACCAACATATTGGGAAATGGGGAGAGGGAGATGGAGCTGAGAGGACACAGGAAGAAGAGCTGGGGGACAGGGAGATGGGGCGGAGAGGGAGATTGAGCTGGGGTGAGTGAGGGAGATGGAGCTGGGTGGGGGGAGAGAAATGGAGCTGGCTGAGAGATGGGGATGGAGCTGGGGCAGCGAGGGATAGAGATGGGGCTGGGAGAGGAGATGGGACAGGGGTGAGAGAAGGTAATGGAGCTGGGGTGAGAGAGGGAGATGGAGCTGGGGTGAGAGAGGGAGATGGAGCTGGGGGGAGAGAAGGAGATGGAGCTGGGGGGGAGAGAAGGCAAGATGGAGCTGGGGTGGGAGAGAGGGCAAGATGGAGCTGGGTGGGAGAGGGCAAGATGGAGCTGGGGTGGAAGTGGGCAAGATGGAGCTGGGGTGGAAGTGGGCAAGATGGAGCTGGGGAGAGGGCAAGATGGAGCTGGGTGAGATAGGGAGATGGAGCTGGGGGAGAAGGAGATGGAGCTGGAGTGGCAAGATGGAGCTGGGGACGGCAAGATGGAGCTGGGGAGAGAGCCGAGATGGAGCTGGGAGAGAGCCGATGGAGCTGGGGGAGAGAGAGCGAGATGGAGCTGGGAGAGAGCCAGATGGAGCCGGGGAGAGCCGAGATGGAGCTGGGGGAGAGGGCAAGATGGAGCTGGGGAGAGAGCCAGATGGAGCTGGGGAGAGAGAGATGGAGCTGGGGAGAGAGCCAGATGGAGCTGGGGAGAGAGCGAGATGGAGCTGGGGAGAGAGAGTGAGATGGAGCTGGGGAGAGGGCAAGATGGAGCTGGGAGAGGGCAAGATGGAGCTGGGGAGAGAGCGAGATGGAGCTGGGGGAGAGAGCCGAGATGGAGCTGGGGAGAGGGCAAGATGGAGCTGAGGTGAGATAGGGAGATGGAGCTGGGGAGAAGGAGATGGAGCTGGGGAGAGAAGGAGATGGAGCTGGAGTGGGAGAGGGCAAGATGGAGCTGGAGTGAGATAGGGAGATGGAGCTGGGGGGAGAGAAGGAGATGGAGCTGGAGTGGGAGAGGGCAAGATGGAGCTGGGGTGGTAGAGGGCAAGATGGAGCTGGGGTGGTAGAGGGCAAGATGGAGCTGGGGGGAGAGGGCAAGATGGAGCTGGGGGGAGAGGGCGAGATGGAGCTGGGGAGAGGGCTAGATGGAGCTGGGGAGGGCCAGGGCCAGGATGGAGCTGGGGAGAGGGCTTAGATGGAGCTGGGGAGAGGGCTTAGATGGAGCTGGGGGAGGGGCTGATGGAGCCAGAGGGCTTAGGATGGAGCTGGGGAGAGCCAGGATGGAGCTGGGGAGAGCCAGATGGAGCTGGGGAGAAGGAGATGGAGCTGGGGAGAGAAGGAGATGGAGCTGGGGAGAGAAAGAAATGGAGCTGGGGAGAGAAGGAAATGGAGCTGGGGGGAGAGAAGGAGATGGAGCTGGGAAGAGAAGGAGATGGAGGGGAGAGAAGGAGATGGAGCTGGGGAGATGGAGCTGTGTGGAGAGAAGGAGATGGAGCTGGGGAGAGAAGGAGATGGAGCTGGGGAGAGAAGGAGATGGAGCTGGGGGAGAGAAGGAGATGGAGCTGGGGGAGAGAGGGAGATGGAGTTGGGGTGAGAGGGAGATGGAGTTGGGGTGAGAGGGAGATGGGGTGAGAGGGAGATGGAGCTGGGGTGAGAGGGAGATGGAGCTGGTGTAAGAGAGGGAGAGAGATAGAGCTGGAGGCACTGCCTGTAAGCAGGGGCTTCCAGAGCAGCAGGGCCACCGTCAGGAGGGTATTATTATTATTTGAGTTGTAATTTATATAGCACCAATTTATTCGGCAGCACTTTACAATATTATAAAGGGATAATTTAACAATAAATGAGACAATTAAAAAATGTTACTGAAACAATTGGTTAATGATGACCCTGCTCAAACAAGCTTACAGTCTCTACAGGAGCTAGGGTATAAAAATACAGAGAGACCGAGAAGGGGTGTACCTAAGAATTAGTGAAGACATGTTAAGGAGTTAGAGTTGTTTAGAACACTATTGGTAAGTGTACAGCCCATAATCTGTTAAAGAAACTGACCATGCTTTGGAGTCTGCAAGGGGCCCTGTAATGCTACATGGTCCGGTTGGAGATGGACCACATTGCAGAATCCAGTGACGGTATGGACTTGTTACAAGGTGCAGCCTCTCCATTAGCATGGCTGCACTGAGAAGAAGTGTCCGATCTATTCCTTAATGCAGAGGGGAAACAGGAAGGAGTTCCCACCACTAGACATAAGGGATCCAAGACAGTTCATTATATTATCACTTTATTAAAAAAAACATTTTTTATGGGTGCCAGTGGGGATCTCAGGTTTAAGTTCTGCCTGAGGCCTCGCAAAGTCTACAGTCTGCTACCACACAAACAAAAAAGTAACACATATCACATGGAGTGGTTATTGTTTTAACAGGAATATCAGGTTTCCAAATTCCATATTATAAAATCCGCATTGCACAATATTATTTGACACTGTGCAGAGTGGGATCCATCAATCTAAGTGGAGCAGCGCGACATACAAAGAATAGTGGCTACTGCATGGAAGCGTGACTTCCATCAATCTCAGCGAGGTCAGCCAGGTCAGCCAGGTCTGTGTGTGACATCAACAGGAGCTGGAATAGCACAGAACAAACATGGCAATCCAGCTGTTCGTGGAACGAAATTCAATAAAATATATATATTCTTAAAACCCATGTTATATGAGATACATTTTTTTGAAGCATGTGTTATGGGAAAATAAACTTTTTCAGAATGTGGAGATATAACATTCAGTGTTAAAGGTTTTGCTGTCCCCAATATATGATATATACATACACACACCTAAACAAATACTGTGAGCAGCCGGGCTTCAACAAGTTCTAAATACAGATCCCGTCAGCTTATGCTGTAACCATGCGTAATGTCATTACAAAGTGAGTCACGAGGGTACTGGGCTTAGAATCCAGCTCTCTGAGGCAGCCTTACACCATTGGAATGAAATCCCTCCCAACCTCAATAATGTAAATACATAAATAAATTGTGAAGTTCCATGGGGTAGGAAAGGGGCATGTTTTGGAAAGTAGGGGCCATGAATAATGGAGGAATGAGGGGATATGGAAAGGAAAGAAAAAAGGAAGCAATGGGGAGAGGAAGAAACATGAAAGGAAGGGACAATGGGAAGAAAGATGTGGCAAAAGTGAGAAGTCAGAAAGTGACTTGGCAAGGAGAATGGGTGACATGGAAATACAATCCACGTGTGTCCACGCATACACGGCCATTCCTCACTAGCAGATAGATCCTTGCATTTACACACTGTTACACAAATACAACCCTGAATACATATTAAGGAAGTGGGAAGTTGTCCATCATCTAAGCCAAACCAAAATCTAGAATTTGTGAAATTGGTTTGTTACACCAAAGTTTCAGGGTTTCTCTTTATATATACCCATACAAAATTATATATAGAGGCAATCTAAATACAGTATATAGATATACCCATACAAATTATATATAGAGGCAATCTAAATATATAGATATACCCATACAAAATTATATATAGAGGCAATCTAAATACAGTATATAGATATACCCATACAAATTATATATAGAGGCAATCTAAATATATAGATATGCCCATACAAATTATATATTGAGGCAATTTAAATACAGTATGTATATATATATATATATATATATATATATATATATATATATATATAGACACACACACACACACTAATACAAATTATATATAGAGGCAATCTAAATATATAGATAAGTGTTTATTTTTTTAAAGGCCAGAAACAGGTCTCTTTTAATATCCTATATGTAAACCTAACGTAACATTCACAAGTATGAATAACATTAAAAAAACAGGGTAAAAAAACATCAAAACATTTTTGTTTATAATAATTTTTACACATAAAATGCAACTAAAGGGGGGACGGTGCCTGACCTGCCAGCTGGCCAAATGTGCTTTCTAGGAGCTCCTGCCAAACCAAGCTTGATTACAGCCAAATCTAGGAATAAAGAGTTTAATTGCTCAAAATACAGCACAGCTGGCATCTTTACTGAAGTGGACGCTGAGGTTCCCCCAAAATAACAATTCCTGCTTCTATTATCCTGTTATCTGGACCTGCGGCCTAAGGAAACTGTGGATCCGGCGGCTGGGAGAGACGATGATCTGCTTGGGACCGCACACCCCGCAGTGCAGCCATTGAATACCCACCCTGCCTACATACGATTTGTTTGTTATTGACCTGTTGTCTTACCATCTTAATTACTGTCTGGCTTTTCCTGATCTGACGCTCACACCCAGGGGAATTTTCCTTACCATGGGAACAATCCCTTTCTCTACTACAGCACATTACGCCCGCATTGTTCTCAAGGTTGTAGTGACAACGTTTAGCCTGTCTCTTTAACTAAAACTTACGCTGTTATTAATTGCCATGAAATTGTTTACGCTGTATTTTCTCTCATTAGCTTGGAAGTGCTGTCGTGGTACAACAACCTTGTTTTGTAACCCTAAGCACTGAAAAATAAAGAATTTTAAAAAAGCACTCAAAATAGATTCACAAATCTAAGGTAATTTCCGGTTATTAATGCAAACTCTATAACAACCAATCCCTTCCCTTAACTTTATACCAACTCTACTCCTAACCCTATGTTTACACAAACTTTAACCATATACCTACCAAAACCTTACCCCAAACTTAATCCTACACTATCCCTAACCCTACAACAGTATTGACCCTAACCTGACACTACCCCTAAGGGATTCCCTCTGCCGATATCAGCAGAGGGTTTCCCTACATGAAAGTTAAAAAAGCAGTCTGTGACTGCCATCTAGTGGCTGTTTGCAGCATGACTGGGAGATATCCCTCTCTTGCTGCTGACCGGCATAATGTATCTGACTATCACACAGTGATCTGTACTGGGTAATTGTCAAAGCCCAGCACCTATCACATTCTGTAGAGGAGCATGCAGAGAGACCCTGTTTTGGTATCAGACCCTGGTCGTCTCCTTCAGGCTGGTTGCAGATCGTGAATCAATGCAGAGGAGTGTGATTGCACTGCCACAGTGATGTAAAGGGCTGTTTAAATCGCATCAGACTTTCAAGCAGGCAATCTAAATCCCCATTTAATGGACTGTATGTAGAGCTCACTTTGAGCGCTGCAAATAGCTCATCTCTCAGTTTGGGGCCACTAAATAATAGCCTCAGCTGACAGAGGGGAGCCCCAGGTAGCGATCGATACATGTGTCTCCCTGGAACGACCAAGGATTTCACAATGGTTATAACACAAACGACAGGATATTCCATGCTGCCCTAACGCCATTAAAGCCGACTATTTGGAGGACGGCATAGAAAGTTCTTAAGCAAAAGGGAGTTGCTATATGGAAAGAACATTAGGTGATTCATCCCAAGTGTAAACATTGTCACATTGGCATTTCAGGTATCTGAAGGAACAAAACGTTAACCCCTGCCACCCCCCTCCCCAGATAAAGTGATTGTTAATGAATTTATTAATTGAACATTGTAGATATAAAAAAAAAAAAAAATCTAAATCCAAATCTTGAATCTGGGAGTATAGTGAGCTGTGTAAATACATGCAGGGTTAATGTAAGATGTTGTTAGTGTACAGGGGGTGGTGGTGGAGGGGAAAGAGGGGTAAGGTTAGAGAGGGTTTAATGTTAGAGTTTTATATCCTCTATAATTGTTCCTGCAGGTCTCCTATCTAGCAATGGAGGCTGACTGGACAACAGTGGACACTGGCCAAGGCTGCGAGTACTTATCTCCCTACGCCAGCCCACCTAAACTCCAAAAAGGCACATAAGGGCCTTAACAGGCACCCCTACAGGACTGGTCCCTACTCTTCCTAGTGGAAAATGTAGGCCTACCCACACCTCGCTTTGTTTATGCAGCCCTTGCCACTCCTCCCCTAGCTGACACTCACACAGTCTCTTTACACGCTTCAAAAATAAAAGCCTACTTTTATTAGGTTCCAGCATTGCATAGTGTGATTAGTCTAGAATGTATATCTCCTGCTCTGCTAATAGTCTACTACCCTGCAACAGCTTTTTGTATCTGATTAAAGTCAAACTAACCGAGCAGGAGAGAAGAAATTCTAAATTAAACCCACTGTCCTGTAAGAGATGATTAAAAATCAATCCGTTCTATTTTTCATGTTTGCTCTGTGAGTCACAGCCAGTGGAAGTGTGCCTAGGGCTGTAAACAGTAACAATCGTTATTTAATTCCTAAATAGCAGAGAATTGAGCAATGGGGAGGAACAAGATCTATACATCAAAACTGCTTAGTTAATCTAAAGTTGTTTTTGGTACTTAAAGTATCCCTTTAACTTTTTTTTTGTCTGAAGTACATAATATTGCAGAGGTATTGGGGTTAAGGTTCAGTCTTATAGGCTGAGAGACGTTTGCTTAACACGACAATTACAATTCTGTTAATTTCCCAAATATCTTAGGCTTGACAAGAGTTTCTGAAATCCACTAGACAAAGTCACCACTGACTTCAAAAAGAGAACAATATACCTCCCTGTGTACTAGACGTGCCAAAAAGGCAGTGCCCTAGATATTGCAGACCTACAACAGACATGATGCCTTGCCATTCTAAAGGCATGATAGTTCTAAATAGGATTTTCCTTGCAATACACCTTACGGGTAACACAGCAAAGTCTCATCTACAGAGAGGTCAGAGTTCTGTTGCAGAGTTCCATAAACAAAGCCACCAAACTCCTATTTTTCACCAAATTATCACCTCAATAAGTGAATGGTCAATGTAGGTTACTGCAAACAGACCAAACAGATTTGAGAGAGTGCTGCATGCTTTGCGGAGAAGTGGTTGTAAGGTTGGTAGAAGAATCTTTAGTTCATTAAAATAGTCACCTCATCATTCATTCCACGAGTGCCCTACACTGGAACAATTTCTGCACATCCATTTTGCTGTAAATTAATAAGCTGCCCATGTTGAAGATACCTTTGATAATTTGAAGTTAATTATTCATCACTACAGATTGCTCTCTAATTGATTCAATAGATCGTCCTGCAATAGGGACATTTATCCTAAATTGCATTTTCTCCTTGACAAGAATTCTGGAAAGAGAAAAAAAAAAAGAACGAATGAAAGAATAAAAAAACAAAACAAAAACACAGCAATGCGCTGAGCGAGCATTTCAGTCTGCAGGGTAAATTGACATATGGGAAGGTCAGATCACTTGCAGTAGTGAATTTACTGTTTATTAATAACAATGTGACAGGTAAGTGATCCCAAGGGCAGCTAGGGGCATTTATATGACACGTTTGCAAAACAAACACTTAACCTCGGTCCAGCTATAAAGTAAAGCAACAGATTGGTCGGTGTCAAATGCAGAAGAAGCAAAGCTATACTATAAACTGTAATATGGGGTGAAGGTTTAAATATTATGGGGGTTATGTATAAAAGTGGTGCAAATGGATCATAATTCGTGTCTGAGCTTATTTATAATATTACCACCGAAAATACATCATCGTTTAGCTTAAAAAGAAGAGTGTTAACTAATTATTATTCCAATATTATGTTGAGTATTCTAAATAAAAAAAATTATATCTAATCACTTTACTGAGCTACAGTTCTCCATCAATGTGCAAATTTGAGGATTTAAAAAAAAAAAACAAAACAAAAAAAAAACTCCAAATGTAAAAATAGAAAAGTCATAAATGTGCGGTTTTAGTATTCACGTAAAAATCCCATTTAGAAATTTATACCATAAAAGTGAAAATTTACAACTACGACCAAAAATATGGCATGCATTGTGTTCAGGATTGTATCATTATGTATACATAACCACCTCTTTTTTTCACACAACTATAACATTTATTTCTGGAGTGAGATTAATATCCAGACACTGTCTATACTTTAAATGTGTATATATCTGACTGCCGTCAATATTGTCAGGATTTTAAGAGGGCGGAAAGAGAGGAATGTGAACGAATGTGAGGAAATTCACAGTTACAGAAAAAGTAGTAGATACCTGGAACAATCTTCCAAGAAAAAAAAGAGGTAAAACTTGCGTGGGTTCCCATCAGTACAATACAATGTAAAGGTCTATAGAGGCCACTTAATATTGCAGAGGACCTTTATTAAGCAGCAGATTTAGTGAAAATGTGTGTAAACAAAAGCACTGGAGCCAACCCTTAAAATGCTAAATGTAAATTAATCCATTTGTGTACTTTCTGGTTCCTAGATGGCTGTGGAGGTGCTGGTGAGGAAAATGTATTAATTTGTAGCTTGAATGGAGTGATTGAGAAGCAGGAGGTTGGGAGGTCTGCATTACTCAGGGTAATACACATTCATGGTGCTTTATCGCTACAACATATTTGCAACTTTAGAAGTATTCAAGTAGTTGGTAGCAATACCCCATATCAGCAGGTAGTTATTCCACCTTTCTATTGAGAAATTAGGGCATGCCATAAAGACATATTTAAAAAAAAACAAAAAAACAACAGAAACCAAAATTGCAAGCACCAATATTGCTACATCTTGTTTTTAGAAAAAGCATTTTCATGTGGTTTGCCAAGACTTGGTAAATTCTCTGGAATTCAAAACCCACGTGGTTAGCAAAATATGGAATTAAAGGGACACTATAGGCACCCAGACAACATCAGCTCATTGAAGTGGTCTGGGTGCACTGTCACTGTCCCCTTAACCCTGCAATTGTAATTATTGCAATTATTGATAAGCTGTAATAATTAACTCCACCTCAAGTGGCTGTCTAGCAGACAGCTACTAGAGGCACTTCCGTGTGGTTAGGTGACCCTTGTTCAACCATCTCATAAACATGGAGATGGATGCCTTCCTGAAAAACAGGTAATTTTTTTCCTGGTAGCACACTCTTCACCTATGTAGCAGCAGTGGTCAGGAAGCTAAAAGATCTACTAAATCCTTGTCTGATCAAACAAATTCCAAGTTGCACTGAGCTGATGCCAGCTTCCCTGTGTGATTCTAGGATTAAGGGGAAAGTGTCAATGTCATTGTCTACCACTCCTAGCATCATGACACCAAGAGAGTGGAGTTTGGGCTGAGGGTTTTGGGATAAAAGGAGTCAGCAAGCAGCCAAAAGTAGACTATTAATGCCTCTGTAATGGTCAGATCTTACCTTTGTGAATGTATGTTTCCTCCTATTGAGGACCCTCTGAGCCACTGCGATGAGAAGAAGGTGGTCTGCTCTGTGTCTGGTTTCCCAGCAGCTATTGTCATGTCTACCAACCAATGTCCAAAGTGAGCAAGTCTTCTCTCTTACAGGGAACATGCTGAATACCCAACACTCTCACATCTCTCCACAACTGACAGAACAAAGAGCCTTCCTCAGTTTCAACCTCCTGAAGTTGGATTACCTTGGTCTTGACTGTGATACTTGAAGCATCATCGTCTGCCATGGCATGACTTCTGCTGGAGGGTAAGATGTGACCAGGGCCGGCCTTAGGGGTGTGCGAGCTGTGCGGCCGCACAGGGCGCCATGGCCCCAGGGGGCGCCCTATGGCTGACACAGCTTGCACACCCCCTGCCCTCTACCAGGGCATAGCAGCGAAAGAGACTGTAGGAGGCGGAGCCAAGCAGCCGATGGGGGCGGAGCCAAGTGGTCGGCAGGGGCGGAGCTAACTGAGGCCTGAATCTGCTGCCTGGTAAGTGAGACCATAGTGCCCCTGCTCCCCCTATAGTACCCCTGTTCCCCATCTATCCCTATAGTGCCCCCCTCTACCCCTATAGTAACCCTGTTCCCAATGTATCCCTTTAGTGCCCCCCTCTTCCCCTATAGTGCCCCCTCTTCCCTATCGTAACCCTGTTCCCCATCTATCCCTATAGTGCCCCCCTCTTCCCCTATAGTAATCCTGTTCCCCATCTATCTCTATAGTGCCCCCTCTACCCCTATAGTA